CATGGCCTGTTTACAACAGGGGTGGGTACCTCAGGCCTTGGGGACGCCTGGTCTCTTTATCTGGCCCTTGGCCCTCTCTCCAGACCATGCCTCCTCCTCTCCCCTGGCCACACTGCAGGCTATGGACTATGGCGGAGATGGCGAAACTGAGAGCAAAAATAAGAGACCCCAAAGAAGAAACGCTTGCAGAAGAATGGAGACCCTTTTCGGATTATCTGAGAAAATATTACAGTCAAATAGAAATCGCAGGCAGGACTTGAAATATAAGCAAAGGAATGAGAACAAGGAATGTAATGTAGGATATATGTTTTAGAGAAATATTACATTTATGGCATTCCTCAAATGGTTCTGCCTGGGCGGACTGTGTCTTTGGTCTTACAATGCCTCTTGCTTGCCTGAATGGAAGATAAGGTGTGAGTGTGTGAAAAACTAGCCTTCTGAACAAATGTGAAATTTATTTATTTCTGCTCAGGCCACTTTTGACTCTGGCTCTGCCCAACACTGGCATGTTGCCCCGGAGGCAATGTGGCCCCCAGTCTGAAAAAGATCCCACCCCCGCCCTCAAATTATATAATTTATCTTGACAAAGCAATGCCAAAACTCTCTGTAACTCCCATCCCAACCTCTAACTGGTTTGTAGATGTCAGGGAACTGCCATCGGCACAGAGGCAAGAAATAGAAAGGCAGTTGTGTTACATGGAGCCTCTGAAAATCTTGCGAAGCAGTTTCTCTTCCGGGGAGGAGGAAAGCCCCACCTCCAGTGGGGAAGAGGTGGAAGGACCAGAGGATGCTAGTGAGAGCCTAAACGCCACTCCTGAGCAAGCCGGAGAGGAGGGAAGCACGCCCTTGCTATCGCCCATCCTGCGCAGTAGTCTGCAGCACAGAGAGGGGCGGAGACGGTTGGGGGTAACAAAACTTTTATGCTGGGGGAGGTACAAAAAAAGACCACTCCCGGATTCTGCTAGCGATTGTGCCAGACATGAGCTTTGGGGCTCTTCATTGTAAAGCGGTTGCACCAAAATAAAGCCTGTAAAACACAGGTAGGAGTCCTGCCTGGTTACTCTCGAGCAACCGCAACAGCACCCGACAGTAGATGTAAGGGGTGAATCAAATATTGAAATGAGCCGAGAATCAGTAACCTCACTGGTGTGATCATGGGTTCCTTAATCATCAGGGCTGCAACCGTGTTATCTCAGATGGGTGGGGTTCGCTGTTCCATAGAGACACACTGCAGCCAGCAATTGACCCAAGGCAGCAAATGGGTGTGGATGAAGCATGTCAGAATTAGCTGAGCAGCCAAAAAATTTGATCTCGCAACCTTTCTATCTTGACTCGTTAGAAGGGGCTACAAATGGTGCAGCGTTTTCATCAAGGAACATCAGGGGCAAGAAGGAAGAGCCAAAATAGTTTTCAGCTGATGTGCTTTCAGAACATAATGAAAGCTCTGCTGGATCAAAGGTCCATCTAGTCTGGCGTTCTGTTCCCACAGTGGCCAGACAAGTGCCTAAGGGGAGCCCACAAGAGAACAACGCATCGTTCGAGTTGTATTATGCTTCATTACGGTAACTCTGAAAATGGTTTTCAAACTGGCTGAATTAAACATGTTGCATGTATTGTTGGTGGGAGAATTTGAGATGGCATGTTGAGAAGACAGATAAAACTTCCCCCATTCCTGCCATGGACCACTTGAAAATTGCAGAGAGTCTTTCTTGGACCACTTAATGATTTCCCTGCCTGTTGCAGAAACTGTAATTGGCTAATCTTAGATGCAGTATGATTTTTAGTTGTATTTTTACAGGCACACCAGGAACCACTGGCAAAAAGGGTGGCAAAAATAGTATTTTATTGTACTAGCCAAAGACCATGGCAAAACCATACAGACACATATCAAAAGGAAATATATACATATATAAAAACATAAAGGCTCTGCAGAAGCCATCAGAACTGTATATTGCAAGCGAGACTGTAAATGGGGAGACTGTAAATCTCTACAACTTCATACAACATATTTCTATTTAGACATCTGAATCTCCCTTACAATTTACTGCAATTTTATCCAGTTCCTTCTTCCTGATCTTTCCTTGCTGCCCGCGCAAAGAGGGCCAAATTATAAGAGACTGAGGTATTAGACTTGCTCAGCAGGCATAGAACCATCAGTGCCCAGGAGAGACTGCTTTCCTGGACAAACAAGGGATTTAGAAAGCATCTCTGGACCACTGGTGATCTGCAGAGCATAGTTTAGGAACCCTGTAATAAAGTTAATAGTGTCTACCACAGTCTTTAGGCCTTTCATGATTATTTCACGAAAGCACTTCTAATGATTCCTTCAGCCAGCCTTCAAGAACAAGGAATGTCCCCTGAAAAAACAGGAAGGGTGGGCACCTAGATTTCTGGGTGTGGAAACTGAAAGCAGTCCTCCAGGCTCACGTGCACACGCGTCATAATTGGCCACCCAGACAGTCCTGCTGTAATGACTCCTGCCTGCTCAATGAGACCCATGCACATAAGACTCCTCCTTCTGGAAGCATCCAGATAATATGCACAGCAAAATCCCTCAGGGATCATTCGTGAGACTAGTCAAGATCCAGTTATCTTTGGGATAACCATCGTTTTGATGAGGTAAAATAAAAGCCTGAGAAAACAGGCAGCAGTTAACATGATCGCTTATACACACTTAGAACACCTTAAGTTACTTCAGTCAAATTGTGCACTGGGCACAAATCACTAGCTAGTGTTTTATTTTAGTTGGGGAAATTAGAGAATAGATGGAAGTAGAGGCAGATTGTCATTTCCCAAGCAATAGAGTGATGGGGGAGGGAGACCTGTGGCCCTCTGGGTGTTGCTGTGCTCCAGCTTCCATCATCCATCACTCTTGGCCATTCTGCCTGGGGCTGATGGGAGATGGAGTCCAACAGCAGCTATGCAGATTCCCCTGTCCTGCCCATTCTGTCTAAAGCTTCCCCGCAGGTGACGAATACGGGCCACAATTTAGGGATGAACAAATGTTGCTCCAGTTCACCTGTCCTTTGGCTCAAATCTCGCTGGGGCTGATGGAAGTTATAGTCCAAAACATTTCTAGGGCAGTGCATTGGCAGAGGCTGCTCGAGGAAACCTGTGCACAATACACCAGTTGCTCCGAAGAAAAGCACAGAAGAGTCCTGCTGGATCAGGCCAATGGCTCATCTGGCACAGCACTCTATTCTCATCCTGGCCTGTGGGAAGCCAAGAGCATGACCTGAGTGCAATAACATTCTTGGTTTCCACGGGCTGATACCGCTGGGAAAAATATGGTTCTCATAATGTACTGTATATCTCAGTACTGTATATGCTACCTTTTCATTTAATAAGATATCCTGTCCCCACTCTCTCTCTCTCCACATAGTGCCGAAGATAAAAATGGGATTGACATAAATATTATTGATGCAACTGTGGGCAAAATTATTGCAAAGGTTTCATGTTTTATTCTTTTCATTTGTATATTTCATAAATCATGTGTTCATCTTGATGGATTAATAATAATATTGTTTAAGAGCACACACTTTACCACTTATGCTTGAGGACTAGGAAATTGACCAGGGGCAGGTGAACGAGCAATAAGGGGACCACAGTTAAGGGACAAATAAATAGATGAATAGCAATGGTAGCAGCTTCATCTCTTCACCTCAGGCAGCAAAGAAACTAACACTGGCCCAAAGTCAGAAGGGGAAATTTAAGCAGGTGCAGCATGCCATCCAAGTGCAGGAGTCTGGACAGGCACCCCTGTTCCCTGCAACTGTTGTCTTCTGCAGCATCCAGTTGCCCTTTGAAGCTGAACATTATAGAAACACACCTAGTCAATGACCTACTAAGGATGGGGACAGGACTGCAGCTTGGTAGTGGAACAGATCCCCTGCAGGCAAGGGGATGCAATTCCAGGCATCTCTAAGCAAGGCTGGGGAAGGCCCCCTGTCTGAAATGTGCTGCTGCTAAAAGGACCAGTGGTCTGATACATCGGGGTGGCCAATTCTCAAGAGACTACTTTCTACTTTCAGAAAGGGAGGGGGGGGTTTAAAGGAAAAGCTTTTGGGGAAACTTCCGGTTTTGGGGGGGCTTAAAGGCAAGGGACAAAGGGGTAAAGTCACTCACAAAAAGATCGCTATGGGTGAAAACAGCAACACAGAGAAAGCTCCATCTTCCCTTCCAGAGATAAGACAGCAATGGAGGGCGGGGTGAGGCGGGGGGGGGCAGGAATCAGTTTTAACAACGCTAAGGAAAGGGAGCCAGGGATCGACCACGATCTACCAAAACATCGCGGGGATCTACCAGATCACGATCAACCTGTTGGACATCCCTGTGATACATCATTATCAGGCAGTATGTTATAGTGTTTTTTATTTTTATTACATTGTTTGTTTTTATCGTTACTTTATAAAGTCCATTCCTACAAAATTCAATCTCATTTCTGAGTTTGGCTGCACGTGTCACTACAAATGGTGCCAGGGGGCTCAGAATTGAGGATACGTTGCTACTGCTGCTGATTTCCAGATTTAAGCTCTGTCCTGATGTTTACTTGGACAAAAATTCTGCTTAGTTTAACAGGACTTACCATAATCCTAAATACACTGGGTTCACTGTAGCACAGTTCAAACGCTCTATCAGCGGCAACTTTGGTGACCCATCCTTAAATAAAGCCAGGATTACTAAAAATGAAGGCGTTGGAGCCCTGGTGGTGGCTGAGACCAGCATTCAGTTCAGGTCTTAGTACTGTTGTTAGGACAGCTAAACAAATTCAGCGACAGGAGTCCCGATGGGCCATTCGCCACGACAGGTAAAAACGGAGCCTCCACATTCAGGAGCATTCTATCCGAGAATCTATCGCTTCTTCTCGCGAACCCCGGAGATTTGCCCTCTCCGCGCTCCCGTCGTAGGGAAAAGAACGTTCGCAGCGCGCACGCGCAGGCAAGCCTAGGAATATTGACCCTCGCGTCGCCCCGTCAGGTGCCGCCTGCGTCGTGCGCGCGCGTGCGCAGTGCGGGCCCTTCCCGCGCTTCTTTCAGGAATGGCGGCCCCCATGGGGCGAGTGCCTCTTTGGCTCCAGTGCCGGGGGCTGTGCTTCCTCCGCCGCGCCGAGGCCAGGCTGAGGGTCGCCGGGAACCGGTTCAGCTCCACGGAAGCTGCGGCAGCTGCGCGGAGGGAGCCGCAGGGCCTCGGCAGCGAGGAAGCGGCGGCAGGTAAAAGTGGTTTCGATTTCCCGGGAGGCCCCTTCCCGCCCGGCCTCGCGTCGCTCCCTCTCTCTTGCTGTCTGCCTGCTGCTTAGCAACTTGAGGGGAGAGGGCGAGGGACCCTCGGGTGGGTGAGCAGCGAGGCGAAGGGATGCGCTGGTGGCCGCCGACTTAAGATGGCTTTGAAAGGGGACGGATGATAAAGCTACCAGTGACTATAGCCTCGAAAGCAGTATCGCCTCCAGGGCGCCTGTTGATAGTGTTTTAATATTGCATCTATACAGGGCCGACCCACCCATGAGGCAACTGCCTCAGGCGGTAGGATCCAACCGGGGCAGCAGATCCCAATGTCAAGCTTTCTCTGCCCCGTCGTCACCACCACTGCCTTGTTCCTGATGTAGATCTTCGCTCGCCTGTTCTTCCCTGGTAGGGAGGGAGTTGCTCTTTTTGGGTCCGCTTCAGTTGGATCTATACCAGCGTGGCCAGCCGAGTAGTCCAGCAAAGCTTCACAATCTTCTCCTTTTCCCGTCGTTGGCCTTTCTAGAATTGACAGTGAAGAAAACACATTGCCCACACAGTTCAGTATAAAGTGTTTTATTGACTAAAAACAATTGAAACACACACACAGTGCCCAGTGTGCTTGCACATATTCTTTGGAGAAAGTGGGTATGGATGAGTCATGCCAAAGGCCTATGGCCTTGAGCTATTTCAAGATGCCCACCAGAGCTGGCATCCTAACCATGAACAGATTTCAGGTGTTGGGGAAGGGCACCTCGAGAAACAGACCAAGCTGTTGGTGCAATTTTGCGCATATTCCCAAATTACACAAACACCTGTGAATACTAATGTTATTGCAGTCATGTCTCCCCATAGGCACTATGGAAAGCAGGGTGCGTGCCTTTGGTCTGATATAGCAGGGTTCCTCTTATGTTCTTATACCTGGTGCCTGGGGCTGTTTCCAGTTGAGCAAAGTGTGCTTTCACACACACATCCAAGCCACCACAGGACAGTTCATGCAGGCAAGGGATGTTGTGCTTAGTACCTGGATGGCACCGTAGCCTCTGAACCTTTTCTTTTCTTTTTTTAGCATGGCATGTGTAGGGGAATGATAAAACTAGGTTGGTTTGGGAAAATACTCCATCCCACCCTTTATGCAAGCATTCAGAAATGGTGTGCCTATCTGAAGTCCCTTTTACTACCTTAGCAGATCTGCTGCACATGTAAGCCAGGCTCGAATGGTGATTTATTTATTTTTGTATGCTACCTGCAAGCATGAGCATCGGCACATGTCAGCTATTCCAGTGTGGGAAATACACCTTATGTAAATAATTATTCTGGTTTTGACCATGTTTGAAGAAGTAAAAATTATACAAGTAACAAGTTTAGTGAAAAGAAAAATGCACACAAACTTTTATATACGGGTTTTTTTGGGGGGGGGGGTTGTCATGTAGTACGTACCTTTTCGCTTTTAAAAATGAAGTACATGTACTAATATCAGGCTGTAAAACTCTGCTCATATAATCTGTTTCCCCCTCCCTTTCCATCCAGATACTGAAATTAGCACCAGAAAGAAGACATTCAGTAAGATCTTAGCAGAAAGACGAGAGCAGGCACAAAGAACAGTGTTAATTAACTGCCCATCCAAAATCAATGAGAAAAAACTACTCAAATACTTGTCATCTCATGGAAACATTAAGAATCACTTCTTCTATGAAAGCTACGTAAGTATTTTCAGCATTAGCAACTGAATTTGTGTGATTCAAATAGAAAGACCCAAGAGCAGATGGAGTTGCGATAACTCATCTGTATCCGTTACAGAAGTGGATAGCATGGAAATTAGTGTTTGGCAGATTTTAAAATACTTGCACGCAAAGGTCTCCCAAGGCAACTTACAAAATACAGTTAGTTTCATATACATAGCAGGAACATTTAGCTTTACAGTGGAACCTTGGTTCTCAAATGGCTTAGTTGACGAACACATCCGCTCCCGAACGCCAAAAACCCAGAAGTAAAGTGTTCCGGTTTTTGAACATTTTTCAGAAGCTGAGTGCAGGAAGCTCCTTCAGCCAATCGGAAGCCACGCCTAGGTTTTCGAATGTTTCGGAAGTCAAACAGACTTCCAGAATGAATTAAGTTTGAGAACCAAGGTACCACTGTAGTCTTAACATGTTTAAAAAAATGAAAAATCATTCTAATGTCCAGCCTGTGCTTACAGATAAAATCTGTTATGTTATTTCCGCCTGGCCTTTGGCTTGGAGCCAATTTGATTCCCTCCCTCCCTCTCTTTCTTTTTTCTTTTCCTTCTCCTCCTGCAATGAGGCTATATTTTAATGTTCCATTATTTTAATGTTGTATTTTATTCTTGTTTTTATTATTGCTTGTAAGCCGCTCTGAGCCTGGCCTTGGCTCGGGAGGGCGGGGTATAAATAAAAAATTATTATTATTATTATTATTATTATTATTAATGTTACTATTTCTTCTTTCTATTACTTCAGGGGGTGTATGCAGTGGTAGAATTTTCTGAGACCGACAGTATAGCTTCACTGCAGGATGCTACTGGTTCTGTACAGTTGGTGGATGAGTGTCCTGTTCCATTTAAATCCAGAATTTTTACAATAACATTGAAAAACCCACCAAGCCAAGCTTCCAATCAGACTCCAGTTTACCGTCATAAACAGGCAACTATTCAAGTTGGAGAGCTGCTGACGAACCTATGTAATGCTGACAGTGTAAGTTCATGTTTGCAATTTCTCTTATAAGAAATAAAGCAGCTTTATTATTGTGTTGAATATGTAACTGAAAAGCTGATGTAAATATTTAAGTTGCTGAATCAGAAACCCTGACCAGAAGAATGACGAAAGAGGGTCAGTGGTCTTTAATGCATGCAGTAAATAGTTCCGTTAATATTTTTGGAAAAATCTGTGCAATACTTGTTAATACAATAGAACTGTTACCAATGGAATAAATATCAATTTGTGATTTTTCTCCAGATCTTTTAAATAGGACAGAGAATGGTCATGCTTACTGATAAAGAAGTAGCTCTTGCATTTTTAATACTAAGAAGCTGAAAGCAAAATAAAGAACTTCTATGAAGGATTAGGCAGTTCATGTTGGTAGTAGCTACTAATTAATCTGGATCATGAAAAACTAAATTTATAAACAGTGCTTCCATTCATGCTTCTGAGAGAGGCAGCAATAATGAATCGTATAATATCAAAATGAATTTTCATGTAAAGAAACTTAACTTTTTCAGAAATCTTGATTCCAGGAATAGGAATCATTAGTGAACTCTCTTTGCATCAAGTTGCCTGGCATGAAATCACCAGCACAGTACAGAGATTTTTAGAGGACACAATCAGTTAACTGAGCCTCACCACTGACTCACATAAACTGACAGTACATCCTAGGACCCACCCACCATTCTTTGTGGTTAAACATTGCAGGAGAAGCCTTGTAGCATTGAGTAATTTTGTCGTTTGAATAGAACCTTGTGCGCTATTACAGATCATCAAGTTGCAAATTCCTGATAGAATTCTGATGAACTTCCATGCCTCCGGAACCCAATAACTTGCACTCATGTATGTTCTCAGTACATTTAGTGACAAAGTTCATCCTTTGTCTTCAGAGTAGATGTTGTGCATTTATGCTGGGTGCAAAGCTATATAGCGTTAACTTATGTCTGTTACAGTGGCTGTGTTTGCACTTTGTAGTAAGCCATGGTTACTGACTTACTGTGACCAAGCAGATTGCTTCTGCTTCACTCCTCCCCAATAGTTTAGCTTTACAAACATGGTTTGTTGGAAGTGAAACAAACCACAACCCCTGGTTTGGATGTAATGCTAAGCCAAGGATCGTGACTTGTTGCTCCCACTCACTAGGTGAGAGGAACAAAGCAGGAACAGTTAGCACATTCACAGTAAACCACCAATTATAATTTAATGACATGTGAACAGGGTGACTTTACATATTTGCTAAATGTATCACTTGGTACATTTGGATAACAGTAGATGTTAGAACTTGAGACATTCTGATGATTAATATTAGGATGAAAATGTGGGTTGTGGTGGCTTACAAATTCCATCCCTTTTAATCTTCAATAGTGCACAGTAATTTAGCAAGCACCAAATAGCAGGAACAATTAAGCCAAAAGGGATGTTTTAAGCCAAATATGTAAGAATTGCTGTATATAGAAGTTACTTGTGTCTTTTCTGAATCTGTTGATCTTCCATTGAACCAGTATCTATTGTGTTCAGTGCAGAGAGAAATGATGTTTAAAGTACTTGTATTTAAACAATCTTTAAGGATGGATTTGGAAAGAAAGAATGCTGAGTTTAGCCTCTGCTTGCTTTATGTTGTAAAGTTGTACCTTGCAGACAATGCAGCTGTTTCTCAACTCTCAAAGGTCATCCAAGTGCCTCACATAACCTGAGATTGTATTCCCCCTCTCCCTTTTTTTGTCTTTGCAGGTGAGCGACCAGTTGTACATGCTCGTAGAGAAGTATCAGCTGACGGAAGAAAACACTAAGCTCCGATTTTTTACCTGCTCTTTAATTCAAGACATTGCAAGTGCTTATTTTCCAGACTGCATTGTGAAGCCCTTTGGCTCTTCTGTGAACAGCTTTGGTAAACTGGGATGTGACTTAGACATGTTTTTGGATCTGGATGCGATCCGAAAAAATGCTACCCAAAGGGTAAGGTCTTTCTCTAACAGCGTCCCCCATTGATTTGTCTTTTGATTAGAGTGTGGAATGACTGTTTTGCAATCATGACCATTTTTATTAATTTGATTTGTTTTAATTGCCGTGATGCAAATCAAAGTTGGCTACATCTGCAGCTTTTTGGTTTGTTTTTGTCATTTTGCACAGCTGTTACTGAGCTTCCTGAATGCCGTGCGTTCATCTTAAGCTGCCTTTTGTGCATCCACTACTCCCAGTCTTTCAGTGTATATACTTACTAGTTTATTCATACAACTGGGCAGCAGGCAAGTTCTAAGCTGGAAAAAGCCTACCCTTGCGTGTGTCCGTTATGGCTTCATTTGCCGTACTCCAATCAAATTATCAGAGGATCAAAAATTTGTAGGCCTAATCCTTTCTCAAACATGAGCTTATAATTTATACATAGCTCCTTGGAGAGCATCTAGTGACATTATCTTCAATTCAGCCATCAGAAGAATTGCATTGCGGTTGATGTGTGAATTAATGTTAAGCTTCAACCCAAATTTCCAGCCTGTAACTAAATGGCTTTTTCTTCAAGTACGAAACAATATCATTGCATTGTCTGGTTACCGTTTGTGTGTGTGTACTTCCCCTCCCTGCTAACTCTACTTCCTGGAGTTCCCTACACTGAAATCCTACAAATTACTCATATTCAAGAGTGCTGTGTACATAGATGGTACTATAAAGACTAATTACCACCATCTTCAAGTGCATGGACCTCCTAGCAGTCATTAGAGCATCACCAGTACCTTATCCAGTCATTGTGGACAAATGGAAGAGTCCTGCTTATGCTGCAAGTGGTAAAGAAGGCACTGAATTCCAGACCCTAAAGTCAAGGGTGGGAAACCAGTGGCTCCCTGGAAGTTTATGGAGCCTAGTGCTCATTATCACCAACCAATAGTGAGGTGAGGTGAGAATATTTTGCGGAGAATATTCTCTGCTAGAAAATTCTCCAGAGAATATTCTTCACAAACTGTAAATTCTAATGTAAGAACCAGTTTTACAACCCACATTTTAACAACCTAGTTAATAATAAGTCAAGCTGAGATTTTAATTATTCCTTTTACTTTGAAAGCTACATTTCATACATACACAACATAATTAGAATTCAAAGTTGATGGTTAATATACAGTTAGTGGCAGGCTTAGTGATTAACGTGAGTCATTCCCGTTGAATTTTCAATTTCAAGTTTCGTGCAAAAAATCAAAGAATGTGAACCCATTTGTCCCATTGAATAAAAGTATCTGTACAGTTTTTGGTTGCCATCTGAACAAGTTTACCCATGAATAAACATGTATATTAACTAATTATATCATTTTCAATGCATTAAAATGACTATTCTCCTATTTAAAATAAAAATTCTCTAATATTCTCGTTAATTGAGAATATTCTTCAAAAGATTTTTTTCGAGAATTTAACATCACTAACAACCAATGGGGTCAAAGGTCAGGGATGATGGATTCAGGGAGACCAGCAACACGTGAAGGGCTACAGCTTCCGCACCCTGCCCTAAACTTTTGACAGCATTTATTTTTTTTATAATCATATTTATTAAAATTTCCAATAATAACAGAATAGAAAAAATAGAAAAGATAAAGAAAAGAAAGAAAAAGAAAAACCAATTTTACACCCTTATTTTCATAACCTTCTTTCTGGGACTCCCTCCTTCCCCTCCCGACTGTATTCCCCTTTCCCTAAGTTGGTTCCACAAGTTCTCATACCCAATTTAAACCTAATATGTTGTACCTATTAGCCAATTTAAATTACAATCTTAACGTCACTCCTCATCTTTAACAGAATAAAGAAAAGGTTTTTCCCCCAAGATCTACCCCATTTCCTTCCACGAATTCCCCCTTTTTTTAAAACACATGTTAAATCAAAATACCAAAGTTATATAGAAAGATAAAAAATAGAAAATAGAAGAAAATTCTAAAAAGTTGGTTACATAGCCTTTGGATTCTAAAATTCCCCCTCCCTTCCCCGGTTTGGATTCCCCATGTCCATCAGTCTGTATGTTGTCGGCCTGGAGGTCTCAAGTCCACAGCCAAATTTTCCTCAATCCATCTTGCCGGTTTTCTTTAAATTTACTTGTTTTGATGCTGTTTAACTTCGAAAATCCAGTCCAATAGAGGCCTTGAATTTCCTTTGGTCGTAGTTGCTCCTCCCATTGTTCTTTCCGTGGCGTGGTTGGTCCTTTGCTCTTTTATTTCTTACTTTCTCAGGTTTCTGTCTTGTTCAGCTGCAAAACCATTCTTATTCCGAAATCTGATATCTACAGAGGTTTGTTATTCAGGAACAAAAACTTACGTCCAGTTCCTACCTTGCTTCAATAGAAAAATTCTATTGTGTTGTCACCTCTGTAGACAAAGCAATATTTCAGTTTAGCTGCTTTCCCAGGAGATAAGACCTGTACACATCCCGGAGTAGTTTTCCACATACGCCACTTGTAATGTCCCAAAGCCCCTCTAGGGGGGTTGCAGTAACTTTGTATCCTCTAATCCAAAAGTCAAGTTGTTGTTTCTTTTCCCCCCGACATTTTGTATCCATTTTTATATCCAATTGTAACAAGATTTTCCAGCAAAATACTTATAACAAAGTCCCCTTTATATTCTCAAGATTTGACAGCTACTTTGACAGCTGTCAAATTCTCCATCCCTCTCCACCAGGTTCTCCGAATCGCCCCGGTTCCCAGGGGGGGTTGCCTCCTCTCACCCTCGACTTTTCTCCTCCAGCGCAATTCTTGTAGTATCCCATCGTGGAATTAATATTTTTTGTCAGCAATAAGCTTCTGAATCGATCTTGGTTTCTCAGTCCTTGTTTTAGCATGTTTCCAATCAGGGAGGGGACTGACTTCCTTTTTAGATCCCCCCCGCTCGTGCCGAATCCGAAAGAAAATTCCTTTTTTTCTCCTTTTATACCCGGTTACCCAATTACTCACGGGTTGTTGTTAAATAGCCGAATTTCCAATGGAAGAAGCCAGCGCTCTCCGCCGAATGGCATGCGGCTGCGCTCGGCAGGGGAAGCGATAGACTCACAGTACCACGCCGCTCCCTGGCACCCGATCCGTAGCCTTTAAAAAGGCTCCTTCACGAGTCGGGAGGGCGCTAACGGTACCAGCCGAGTCCCCATGTCCACGGGCTCCGTGCCCGTGGTTTTTAAGGGTCCCCGCGTCGCCGGGAACCCGTG